ATACACTTGTTTCTGCACTATATACACAATATAGATACTATGTAATATTTTAAGTTGCCGAAGTACCGAAAACACTCTGTTACTGATAATTCTTCATTTTTCATATCTTAATGTAGCATTGACACAGAATTTAGCAGAGAAACTTCAAAACAATTTAGTCCTATTATGTGAAATTAAAGACAATTTATCATATGATTTTTTCATGTGCATTGCATTGGAGCTCGTTCTATTGATTTTTCTGACCATCTGACTATAAAGTGGCAAAACTTCACTTCTGCAATCAACTGTACAACTAATAAAACACAAATAGTATAATGTGAAGTGCAGACACGTCGCACAGGTTGCTTTTAACGTATAGTTCTATAGCACCACCCTCTGGTGATATAAACCATTACTTAATACAAGGTCGCGGCAGGTAACCTGCTCCTCAAAAGTGTTAAATGGACTAATGTTTTGAATTTTCATAAAGGGATTTTGTTGCTTTTTCATTTATTAAGTAGTGATAAACAAACTTGATACACTTCCATTCCTGTGAGTTTATTATGACCTGCTCTTTTATTAGAACCTGCTCTTGACGTTTTGCTGCATCATAAATGCACTATTGTCCTCTAGTGTCCACAGTGAGCAAATGCAGGTTCGACTCGATACATTAACACATGGGAATCATTATTCAGTTCATGGGTTATCCCCATACATTACCGAATATATATTTTTTGTTAATAATATTTAAGGTGGATTTTAAAATAAATAAACATCGACATTGCATGATACTGGTATATGCATTAAATCTGTGGGTGATGTGAGGAGTGTGTACAGCCTCAACCTAAACCACAGTGAGGATCCAAGCAGGAAAATACATACAGCCTGTTTTACTTTCTTCTCATTAACAGAAAAATATAAAAAACAAAATCTTTACACAACCTAGAATTGACACTGTTGTAAGACTAGACGTGAATAAGTATGAACTAAATTGCTCCTATGACTTACTTCTGCAATATGACAGAATTTTAGATTAGTACTATTCTAAAATACTGAATGTCTGATGCCTGAATGTAAAGAAATTGGAAAGTTCCCTTTTAATTTCTTTGCCACACATTTGTTTGGTGTAAGGACATTAAAGACATCTTTATCTTTAATGTTTTTGCTACATGCAGGTCTCTTACCATGTTTGCTCCGGGGTAGAATATCTGTGGGTCTCTCCACTCTATGCTGAGTTTCTCTCGGAGGTTCCCCTCCTTTGGGATAACAAGGCATCTGTCAATGTCCAGCTCTGGATAGATAACCTCTAGTCCACCACTTTATAAATGGAAATAAAACAAACATATTGATTATGGTAACAAATAAAGAAATTACAATATTTAAATACCATGTTAACACCACAGAAACACACAGAAAAAGAAAACACTTCCACTGCTGCCTTGATAATTTTAGTATGTACAGTTATGCATGTAAGTATATTAATGTTAGAAAGGATTACAAGTGACTTACTAGCAGAATGATAAGTCCAAGGTGCTCAGGCTGTCTGATGATGTTTCCACATAGACAAAGCCCAACATACACACAGACAGTAGCAGATAATAACCTTGTGCAGCCTGCAGGAATTAAATGCAAATTTCAGTTAGTCAGACTATGGTACAGTATATTATTGTTCTAGTCCTGAAAACATCCAAAACCTAGGGAGTAGAAAAACAGGACATAGTAGAGAAAGTCACAGTTAAGTGACACCTGACTACCTTAAACCTCTATGACATACAAGATGATGTGAGAAATGTTCCTTAGAAGTTTTGGTCCATACTAATGTGCTGTTTCAACACAGATTTTTTTTCTTTTACAGTAAAGCACTGTGGTTGTAAAGTAGGTAGATTATAATATTGGTGTTCAGTAGCCTATGGTGCATTTGTTTTCTGGTCCTTAAATGTGGCATCTCTGTCTCGCCTAAAACTATGGTAATCCACCTGCTTATATGGTCAACTATTTGTGTATAAGGACAGAAAATATTTAACAAACTGCTAATAAAATTTTAGCCAAAACACGTTTATATACACTATATTACCAAAAGTATTGGCTCACCTGCCTTGACTCATACTATGAACTGAAGTGCCATCCCATTCCTAACCCAGAGTTCAATATGATGTC